CTACCAACGGCTCGTGCACTTGCGAGTATCACAAGTTGAGGATGCAACTGAATCCATTTTGGTGCAGCTGTATCTACACAACATTAGGCGAGGGGGTTCAGCCAGCAAATGCCGACTTGAACACCGAACTAAGACCAACGGCTCCACCAAGGGTGTCGCCTATTCCAATCATCAAGAGCCGCTTTGGCCCCATAGGCGAGGACAAAGAACAGGCTAAGAAACTCGTGAAGGGGAGCTCAAATGGGGCCGTCGCACCTCCTAATGGTTGTGAGAATGGAGGAGTTTTGAAACCCACCCATGAAGGAACTAGCGGTGGCTGTGGTAATAACGGGAAACCAACAACTGATTTAAAAACCAGTCCTGAAGGTGGCGGTGGTCATAATGGGAAGCCAACAACTGATCTGAAAATAAGTCCTAAAGTTGGCAATGGTCTTAATGGGAAACCAGATGGCGGAGCAACACAAGATTTGAAAACCACCAAATATCTCAAAAAGCTTTTCCAGAACCATCTCGAGAATTCCATCTTCTCCAGCTCCCTTATCGCACCAGTACCAGCATCGTTTCCTCATTAGATATGTCGCTAATAGAGAATCGAGCATTTAAAAGAGCGTAAACGGCATTTGTGGAGAATCCACATCCACAACTTCATGAAGGGTTAAAATACTGAATCATAATAACATAAACTTACTTCATCCTAGTACTTCCCTTGAGCAAGGCGTGGGTAAAGAGGTGCCTTCAAATTCACGAACCTTATAGCATTAGACACTGCCACCAGTTTTGGCTGCATTTTACAAAAACGTAGTTAGACTAGTATTTCCATACGCAACCAATGAAACTTTGAAACAGTGATATTTAAATATTATAAGTATTTCCACACGCAACCAAGTAGCTGAAATTTTGATATAGTGATATTTAAATATTATAGGAGGAAAGCTGAAAGAGAAGGGATATGAACACACGCTAGACAGCCTGCCTGAGAATAACATGAACGAAAAAGGGAAGTGTAATCTGGCAAAAAAGTGTAGAGGAATTTGTGTTTTTCTAAAACTTAATATGAAGAGTGGTGGGGTGTGTCTGTGTATAGATGTACTAGTATTAAGTTGGATGACATCTTGTCTTTTTACACATTAATAAAACTTAAAAGCTTAATTATTTAAGTATTGGGGTAAACTCTTTATACAATTTACTACCTTCTTATGAGGTTGGGAGATTTATTCTAAACAGTCTCAATTGCAAAATTGAATTTGGAATTAAAATTGAAAAGATTGTAAATACACTACTCAAACTTGTCTTGTTTCTTCACACTTCCTTTACTCTTTTTTTTTTCCCCTCTTTTTTTTTATCTGCACAACAACACACTTTAACATAAACAAACAAATAACATCCAAAAGAATCGTTGATAAACAAATGCGAGCAGACAGTGAGCTATCTCATCTAAAAATTGTTGTATCCAAATCAGTAGAATTCTCGAATAAACACAATGAGCTATTTCAATTTCGTGTCATCAGTTGGTATTATAAATTGAGAGAGATAGAGAGAAATGACCAAGGCTTAATTGATCCAAGGGCCATGTAGCCCTCCTTTAGGTTTAGGCAAATCTTTTAACCACTTTGTAAAGCTATTTGCCGCATTATTGTATATTGCATGTTGGGGTTTTCATATGGTCATGCTTGATGCATTGTTGCTATTATTTGTCGCTCAACAATGGCTGATCTGGATTTATATTTTGAATGAAAATCTGATTCTCTCTTTTTTTAACTGCAGACAACGCTTTTTGATGGGAGTGATAGTTATCATAGTGAATATTTCCGCAAAGCCTTAATGGAAGATTGTGGTATTGAGATAGACGTTGGCGAGTCAAAGAAAGGTTCGACTTCTACTAGCAAGGTTCAAGAGTAGTTCAAGATCCACAACTAAAACTAGATCAAGTCTGGCACTTGTGAACAGTTTAAGCGAAAACAGACTTATTTTTGTGTAGTGGTTTCAGTCTCCAGATGATACTAAAGCGTTCTACTGTACTAGCTGAAATTTTCAGGCTGTGTCCTGTGTATATAATATCCCAACCCATCGTTTATATGGTTTGCATATGAAGTCTTGTTATTCTTTGTCTGGTGGTAGAAAATCTGAAGCCTATACTTCAAATTTCCAATGAAATGGTTACGACTAACTACTAAAGAATCCATCAAAGAAAAAGAAACATACTTGTAATTCCCAACATAAATTTTTGTTGTTGTTTCTTCCCCTTGTCCTTTACATTTTCCGTAATTTTAAATTTTGAGTTATAGGAAATGAACAGCATTTAACAGGACCCCAACCTAATTCCTCACAAGATTGAGAAACTATATATTATATATGCTATATCTCCAAGCAACAAAAATGGGATTAGCCGTGGGCAACTCTGCTTCTCTCTCTGCTCCGCTCTTCTATACCAACTACTGTACAGATAACATTGTTCCACCTGAGCCATGTACCAGTTATAGACCTTCTTCTTCAAACATGCCTTCATCCGAAATTCTTGAAGATTCGGTGCCATTAACATGAGGCTGGTCCGACAAATCGACATTGGTTTCATTTAAGAAGCTGAAATCAAAGTCATCATCGTCGTCATCGTCTTCTCCGCTTGAATCTTCTTCATCGATTTCTCTTGGTTTTATTCCCTTAGCTTCTCTTTGCATTCGTTGCTTGATGCAATCGTCATATGACATTTCATACCAAACAGTGCTCTTTCCCACAATAGCTTTGTTATGAGCATCTGTCAGCCGCTCTTGCTTGCTCTTCTCTGAGTTCTTTGGTTCTCCCCAGTAGTCATACCGATACAGAGGGTTTGCCGGGTCATATTGATCCTTCCCAAAGTAACTGGATTCCACATACCTTCCTGGCTCTTCAAGTGGTAGACCAAGAGCTTTGCGGCTGCAGAGAAAATCATAACAGTTATTGCATACAGCTTCAGTGTGGGTGTGCATGTGTTAGTATGTGCATGGTTTGTGTGAGAGAAAACAAAAGTGATATTCAAAATCATAATAGGGCAGCCCAGAAGAGTGTTAATATGATGCAAAGTCACACGACATTGCAGGATTACCAGTCTAATTGCATTGATCATATTATGGAATCAAAACCATGGTAATGTGACTGACCCGCTTATCACAGGCGAGGCGACCATCGGTTCCTCTATGCTAAAGTTTGACTATGTAATTAAATACATTGGGACAATTCACTCCCCAATTTAGAATAAATAAAACAAGAAATTTCATGAGGGTCAAATCAGAAAAACACATTTGATATTGAATATCCACAACGGGGGAGTACCCAAAACCTAAATGATTGTAAATTTCTGACATAAAGTAAAAAAATATAGGAACACCGAAGGGCGATACCAGCTTATGTCTCTGATCAGAGCTTCTCTTTCCTCAAAGGATCTGCGCCAATGTAAAAAGTCATACTCATCCATTTCATCATTACGTCTCATATTAGTAACTTTGTATTCCTCTCCTCTCTCTTTTGCTTCCCTTCTTAGTCTGTTGCGTAGCTGCAGGAAAATAATAAAAACAAATCTCAAAAAGGGATAGCATTCTTTTCTCAGCTAAGATTATTATGGTCAGAGCAAATACATGCATCCCATGTACTCACAACATCTGAGGGTAATACATCGCTGGCTGCCCACAGCGTTTTAAACTTCAGAAAATATTATATATCAAACCTACAGAACCTCCATACATTTTTAAAACCATCAATGGCGACCAAACTATATAAACTGTTTGGGAGCCAGGCATTTATTTCATATTAAGTTAGAACAACAATAGCATATAAGAATCAATATTCAGAAAAATGCATTTCAATAAGTGGAAAATGGATGGAAGACACATAACATAAGTATCGGAAACAGATAGATTAAGTGTGACAGTGCATGACAATATTCATCAAAGAAAACACACAACAGTCCCATCTTCACATCAACCATCAAAGAAAAACTGAAAAGAAAAAAAAAAACAAGACAAAAAGTATAGATAATATTCAATACAGTGCTTGAACAAAGATAATACAAGAATATAAATGTAACAGGCAGGGGAACAGCTGACCTCGCGCTCAGCAAAGGCAGCCTCCAAGTCAAGTTCTTTAACGCTGGTTTTCTGCAAACAAATATGAAGAACAGTAAGTAAATGCCATATCATAGATTCATCTAACAAGATACAATGTCACAGGAGAAATGCTCACCAGAATCACTTTTGGTATCAAGGTTTTCTTATAATAGGCTTTTGTATATTCAACACTATTTTCTTCATTGAACTCTTCAGTATCAGTCAACTCTGATAGTTTTTTGCCTTTGTATTTCTCGGGATTAGCCTCCAAATCATTCAAAATCATCTGTTCAGCAACATGTATCTGCCACAACTGCATCAAGGCAATAATGAAAGTCAAATGGCTATAATGGTCAAAGTGGAAAGTCAAATTAAATTGAAGGGCAAGACAAAGAAAGTATTTCCATGCACACAAAAAAAACACTTAAGGCAACATAACAACATTTCAGATACCAAAGATTTACCTTATCAACATAAGGGTGATTTGACAATAAAGGTTCCTCTACTGGTTTGTCTTTTGGATCCTTCCTGGGTACAGGAGGTCTTCCACAATCACGCTGAAAAGTGAAACAAGCCAGATCAAAAGCATAAGCATGTGCTGATATAAATACTAAGACCTAAATGCTCATAGAGTGCTGAACTGTAAGAAGATGACTGAAGGTAAGAAACTAAAGTTATAATCGATCCAGGAGAAAGGTAGAAAAAGTGAAATGTTAGAGGAAAAGCACACACCCGCAATTCATCTGGATTAGTATCCTCATCACGATGAAATATTGGCGAAAAGTCAAATCTGTTGAATCTGGAAGTGTCGATGGAAATTTAGATTTTAAGAAGCAAATAAGACTGAAGAGAATCTGAACCTTGAAGCATGCCAAAACAGAATTGGAAGGTGGAGGAAAGCTGTAAGTCTGTGAGTATAGAAAGACATACATCAAGTGGTCTATGTTAGGATAGACAAAACGCATTTCAATAGGAAACCGAAAACGGTATGGATCTCGCTTTGCCTGCAATTGAAAAATTTAGTAAGAAAAAACCCACAAGAAATGTAACAAAGCTCTATCAGCAGTAGTAAGTAGCAATTGTGCCATGAAAAATAGGATACGAAGTAAATAAATAATAGAAATAGAGAAACTGAAGCACAGAACTCACCAGAATTTCAACAATGACAGGCATACCAACTTTTATGTGATGACGGATCCAGTACCAATCATTATTTTTTATAGGGACCCACCTGACAGACATCAACACACATGAATCTAGCAGGAAAATTTGCATTGAAATACACAAGCCAGTTTTTAAATCCTTACTCTTGTAAAAACATTTTTTTTGTCTTTCCAATTTATTGTCACTGTATATTAGCTGAAAATGGAAGTGGAAGATAAGACTTCCAGCAATGAATATAGCACGTCCAGTTACAAAAACACTCCATTAACACTAAACAGGACAAGCATAAAAATGATAATTACCCATCATATACACCTCCAATGTCCACAAATGCTCCTTGATATAGATGTGTAGCTGTCACTTTTCCTTCACAAATCTGCATTAGCATTTTCCACTGTGTCATCAACCATTATATTACCAAAGACACACCACTTACAGTTCTTACTTTTAAGAATTCTGGACTAATGGATCTGATAATGAAAATGGTCTATACAACATATCATGTTACGTGTAAATGAAACATAATTATTCTGTAAGGATGATCATCTCAACATTCTTTGGGTGAGATTTAAAAGTTCACTTCCAGAAACGCTATAAATAAAGTAAATTACTTACCTGTCCGGGGTAATAAAATGGAAGTTCATACTGCACAGAAAAATGAAGACCAATGTCAACATGTTTGGGTAATTCAAGTAAAACCAAAATGGACGGGGAGGAGGAGCGGGAAACAAAACGAAAAATCACAAAGCCATCATACCATGCCCTCTTTGTAGTCCTTGCCTCTCTTCCTCCTACCCGGATGGTAATCTTGGTCATACTGTATGTCATTGAAGAAAAGAAGAAGCATAATTTATGGCCAAATTCAACTAATTACTAATTATCGAACTTAAAGAAATAATTCATTCCAATTAATATTTTTTTCACCAAGTTTCCAATTTTATACTCAAATGTGCTTGAGACTAACTTGAGCCAAGCAATTCAAAAACAAATAATGCAAATAGGTAACGAATTAACAACAACAAATAACCAAAAAACGCAATGAGATAAAAAGCTTTAATCTTTGCAGACCTTATACGACTCCTCTTCCAATCGATCCTTATTCGCAGCGACCCATTCCTTGTACTGCTTCAAGAACACCTTATATCTATCCAAACACAAATCATCAGTCTCCGTCGTCGCCTCTCTCTCCAATTCATCCAATCCAACCCTCACTGTCTGCAACTTATGCGCTTCTCTTATATACTCTAGCTCCTTCTTATCAACCTCCCAATCCCTCGGCGGCCAATCCCTCGGTGGCACGTGTCGGACGACCAGCGGGGCGGCCCAAACCGTCTTCAACGGCTCCGGTATGTTGCCTTTGATCTCGAACTGTTTGCGATAATAGTCGTCTTCGGTTAGGCCCATTTCCTCCATTTTCTTCTTGCGGTAACTCGGTCTGAGCATTTTGAAGGCTTCGATGGCCTCTGGGGATTGGAGAGCGACTTCTTCGCCTTCGTTCAAGCTTTTTCGCGCGAAATCGGCCTCGGGCGTGAGGACCTCCTCCCATGGGGCCCACCCGCGCTCGACCCAGTTGCGCTTTCGGGCTTCGTCTTCGGTTTCTTTGTCTTTTGGGCCGAAGTTCTCGAGGAAGGTCTCGTCGACTGGGAACTCGTCTGAGCTGAAGGCCTTGGGTTTGGAGAAGCTAAGGGGACGCCATTGGAGGTGGTGGTGGAGCTGCTTGGGGTGGGGTTTGGGGTTAGGGTTTAAGGTTTTAGGGAAGGTGAAGAATTGGTGAGGGGTTTGGAGGACTTGCATTGCTGTGAGAGTGACTGAGGAGGGAGTGCATGTGAGAGTCGAAGCTCAGAGTGAAAGACTGTTCTTTTGGATTTGTTGAGTGGATAAAGTTTTTTCTTTTTTCTTTTTTCTATTATTTAATATATTTTTTTTATTTTTCTTTGTCTTAATTTATTTATTTTTAAATAGTTTTTATAAAAAAAATCTCATTATGCTATTTTTTCAGTTGACAATCTATTTTTATATCACAGCTTTAATAGAACTTCTATTAAAGCTGTGATATAAAAATAAATTGGCGCTTACATCGGCTAATCGTTTTAGATATCGATGCAAGAAAAATGTTACTATCAGTTGTTCACGTGAGTATACATACATGTAGCATGGTTTATGATACAATCATTTTCTATTTGTGATAATCTCGCAGATTTTAGACATTCATCCACTTTTTACATGAAAGTTCACATGACTATATCACTAGTAGTACCAAAAATTTGCGAACTTTAGTTGATGTATGGCAGTGATTATATGAACATAAGTATGATAAATGTAGTATTATATTTTTAGGTCATGCATTTGATATTTGGAAAATCCAGTAACTGATTGAAAGAAAACCAATAATTGAAAGACTGATATTTAGATTGAGTCTCTCTCTCTCTCTCTCTCTCTCTCTCTCTGCATATCCAGCAACCAGGCAAGCTATGAACATATGATGAGGAATAAACAAAGCAGGTCCTATTATTAAAAACAAGTAAAAGGATATGCAGAGAGATAATAGCTAACCCTAAACCCTAAAAACAAGTAAAAGGATAATAGCTAACCCATCAGCCATAAACTAATTACAAAATCTGTTATGTAAATTTGAACTTGGATTCTCCCTTCTTGCAACTTGTCAATACTCAAGAGTAGAATTTGAAATCCTTGGCTTGAAGTATGATGTTCTTCAATGCCCCGATTGGAGATAAAACCATCAATAACACTCCAACTATGATGCAGAACTATCATTTGAAACCAAAAAACAAAAAAACAGCATCAAATTAGTAGCTGTAAAAATGGAAAGAAGAAAAAAAGACATGCAAACCAATTTCTTGAGAGCTTACCCAATTAGCCCACCAAGAAAGGCCAAACTTCTTTGGTTTGTAGATGACAAGCCACATGACGCAAGGGAGCTGCAATACAATAAAAAGAAGAAAAGTTTAGATGTTTTAATTTACATGGGAGTTGCAGGACCTCTTGCTGTTTAAGAAACTAATGCAGTATGATCATATATATGGTTCCTTACAAAGTATGATGTGGGAGCAAACGCAAATCCTCCAAAGAAACTGAGAAGCCCACCAAAGAAAGGGAATGTGATTCCAATGAACAAGGTGAATGCTGCATTCGGAAATATGAGTATTAATGGTTAATAAATAAAACTATCACGTTGTTGATCGCATCTCTAACAATGTTAGAACGCAGGGATTAAGTAAATAAGTTAAGACGGGGAAATGCTAATTACCAACAAACGATGTTCGTGTTAGGAAGCGAAGTAACATAGATGGCTTGAATTTCATCTTTGTTACTAGAAATGATTCCAGCATGTCAAACACTGGCATTGCAAAGACCTACATAAATGCATTACCAAAACTTGTTATCAATGAAGAAAACAGAAGAAGAAGAAGAAGTAGTAGAAGACGACTAAAAATAAAAATAAAAATTATGCAGATGATAAATTTAAATAAGTATTGTACCTGATAACTTCCGCATAAATGCATTACCAAAACTTGTTATCAATGAAGAAAACAGAAGAAGAAGAAGAAGTAGTAGAAGACGACTAAAAATAAAATAAAAATTATGCAGATGATAAATTTAAATAAGTATTGTACCTGATAACTTCCAATGACATGGATAACAACAAAGAAATTAGCAAGAGCTATAAGCCAACGAGGCTTCTGCAACGATATGAGGATGTTATCTTCGACGTTGTTTCCAAACACCCAGTAACCGATCAGAGCAACAGGGAGATAGCACAATGCGACCACAACATAAGCAATAAACACACCCTTCCACATGGGTTTTTTGGAAGGCTTTTCTGGTGTAGAAGGAATTGTTGCTTGAATCTCCAAAACAACGTTGTGCCCAGCAAAAGCAAAAGCTACATTTCCCAAAGCACTAAAGAAGTTGAACACATTTCCTGCAGTGCTTGAAGCCTTGGGACCATACTGCACTTGTGGATCAACCCCTTTTTGCACAGAAGCTGTCCAGGCAAT